GATGGTGCGTATGCGTGCAAGCTGGTATTGCAAGCTCCCGCACAAAAGACGCCCGGAAGTACGTTTGTTTTACCTTTTGTACGTTTCTTGACCCATCCCAAGGGCAAAAACAGAATCAACCACAAGTGAACGGGCGAGCAACGTTTCTGTGTTCGAGACCCGCAACAGTCATTTGCCCACCTCAGGATGATAGCCTCCTCGGCAACTGCCAACTCTAGCAAAGTCTCCGACATGATGGATCGACTCATGCTGCTGATGCCTGGCACAAAATAATGTGCGCTTCTGTTTCTGAAGGTGGCTTTTGAATGGTTGATGCCTGATAGCTTTCTGGATGGAGCGCGCAGCATAATAGGCAAGATCCAGAGGCATGCTTGATCTCTCGATTTTCAGGGCTGCCGCCCGAGAGGATGCCCCTGCCACAACTGCTGGATCGCCCCCCCCTTTGGAAGTTTGGAGCCTCGTGACCTGCGGGAAGTTTGTGTGTGTGTGTGTGCCCGCATTGACGGGCGTCGGCCTTGAGGAAGTACCCCAAGCGGCGCGACGCTAGCAGACGAGAGATCCCGGAGCTGGTCCAGAGACTTAGCAAAATACCGGGTTTAGCGTCAGTCCAGCGCATGTATTCTTGCCGAGGGTCAGACAGCAATGCACCGTTGGGCTCGCGTGGTGCTTGTTGTTTTACTGTCTCAATGGAGGGGATCCACTTATTGGCAGCCATCAATGGACCGCAAGTACACGGCCCAGCAAGCCCGTTACTGGTTGAAGGGTGTGCTGGGCGCTCCTGGCTAGGGATGGCACCACTTTGGTGCGGGAGGCCGCGCCTGGTGCAAAAAGGCCAAGGAGCACGGTCATCGTGGCGTGGCTGCAGCGAGCACTGAAAGCGTTGTGTCAGACCGGAAGGAAGCCTTGTGGGGTTGTTTCTCTTGTGCCCGGCACCTTTGATGTCCATTTTGGCTCGTCCTCGGCGGAGGTCTCGCGGCTTAGCGAAGGGTCACGAGTCAGGGCACTGCCTTCCGCTGCAGGTAGGTGCAGGGCAGGTTGATCGACAGGCTGATTCATGGCCCCAAGAAAGCATGGCTTGTGAATGGCTGATTGTTTGGCATGCGCAGCAGCAGGTTCCGGGTGAACACCAGGAAGGCTAGCAACACATTACATTCAACGAAGGTCACCATTCTTTCACTGCCACAACTGTGGATCAGATCAGGGGGTGCCCGTGATTGTTCCGAGGTTCCCATTCCTGGAGGCTGCTTGTCCAGAAGGGTTGTGCTCAGCTCCCTGAGCGCTGTGAAGTGCCAAAATTGCCTTGGCGCGTTTTGCAGAAACTTGAGGGACCCCCTTTTTGGTGGAGGTTTTAAACGCGCATAGGAGGAACACAACCAATGGGAGGGAGGAAACTTGTTTCACGCCCCCTGCCAAACGAGGGATCGAGCACTGCGTGTCCATTGTGCGGGACCGGGACGATGGCCCACTGCTAGGCAGGATGCGATCTGCGAGTCCGGGTTTTGGCGCAGAGCTTGCCGACACATTCATTGATTCGATTCCATCAGTGCAAGTCAACCAGCCAAATGCTGTAACACGTGGCAAACAGATAGAACTCGTTTACTCCAACTCTATGCTGAGATTCCGCCATGACGTGATCCATTGGTATTTGCCGTGCACGAGCTCCCAGCTGTTCGCAAAAGACCCTTGATTTCACACGTGATGCAACCGACAGCCATGTCTTAAGATTTACTCGTTGCACTTCTTGCCCGAAGGCCAGCCGCGCTTCGAGGCCATGGTCGAAATCGTCCGGAACCTCAAGGGGGACGGGGTGGCGCCTCGGTTCAAACACGTCTCCATGGGGTGGCGCGAGGGTTGCTTTGAAGTTTGCTGGCCTTGGCGAGTTCGTGGTTGTCAAGGTTCTTCTTTGTCGCTTAGTCTTTGCCCCTGTGCAGTTTGCAAGCATGCACATCCAGCCCTGCCAGGTGCTCGTGTTTGTCCCCGAGCGGGTGAAGTTGGATTCGATGGTTATGCTGCTTAGAAAGGCCGGCATCCAGGACTGTGCGGCTGCCGTTGGCTGAAATCGTGGCAGTGTGAGTGCGGGCAGCCAAGCCCTAGCGACATGTCCCACGCGTTCTTGCCGCAAGGATGTTTCCAAGTATCGGTCAGAGGCGGCTTGCTTGCAACACGTGGAAGGCAATGGGCTCGTTGGCAGTCTGGTTACCCTTCAAATCCGTCTTCAGAAACACGGTGCCATCGAGAAATCCACACACGAGCTTGTGCTCGCCTGTCCCCAAACGTGACTCAGGTCGGCTTAGGCCCATCAACGGAGCAGCTGGCTGATGCAGGCCTACGCCCCGCTTCGTTCTTCATGCTATTCCCTTCATTGGGGCTCTTGCCGACGATGGGCTTGGCAAGCTTGGATGAAGAATCTAAGAAGTACCCAGCCAAGAGGATAGCAGCTGATAGCAGGAAGATGGTGCTTCTTGCAAAGCGTGAGCAACAATTGAACATAATGTTGACCCCGATAAACCCCTTGGTCGATGTACGATGGACGGCCAGATGGCGTTGCCATGGTTTGTGACATCCGTGCATGCATGAGAGAGATGATCACACAGAGATGCGCGGTAGGCTTCGAAAGAACCTTTCGACGAAAGGGCATGCGCCTTGTTGGCAAAAAGTTTCCGATGAGCTCGGCTGGCCATATGTAAATGACATGCTGCTGGCTGGAGATGTCCATGCACAAGCCGAGCTGCCCAACGCCGAACTGCCTCAGTGGTTTCATTGACTTCCCGAGCCAGCTTCAGTGCAAGCAGTGCCTTAAAATGAAGATGAAGGCCCTTACGAGATGCCCCTGGGAGGCTTTAGTTGGGAAGAGATGCCCCCTTTGCCCCCTTTGCCCCCTTTGCCCCCTTTGCCCCCTTTGCCCCCTTTGCCCCCTTTGCCCCCTTTGCCCCCTTTGCCCCCTTTGCCCCCTTTGCCCCCTTTGCCCCCTTTGCCCCCTTTGCCCCCTTTGCCCCCTTTGCCCCCTTTGCTCTCTGCCCCTGCAAAGGCTGGCGCCTGCCGGGCGAAACGTCAACCCCCTCGAGGTTCTGCAGCATTACCAGGAGTTCTTGGACGAGGTCTCGAAGGCTCCCCGAAGCGAAAACTCCTTTTTGAGAGTGGAGGGCGCTTGTTGCCCTACTTAATGTTACCATACAGTGCGCCACCCTGGGTTAGGTATGGCCCAGGTACGAAGGCTCATTCAGGACCTAAGGGGAGCCCTGTATAGACCTGTTAGTGACTGACCTTGGTTCTTTGTGGGGCAGAGCGCCTTATGCTTAAATCGTTGGTGGCAGTTCTCTCGTGCTTGGGACAAGCCGCAGAAGACCAGCTCTGTCGCATCTGAAGCCTGGCCGCGTTTGATTCCTGTGACGTTTCAAGCAATCCACACAGGGTACCCCACAGGTCCAATGAGTCTGCAGCTGTCGTTCTGCCGCCCCATCTCGACTTGAAATTCCATCCTCACTCAGTGGCGTGGACGCGCTCAGGGCGGCCGGCGCATCATTTTGGCGAAGATGGAGCACGGGCGAGGCATCGCAATCAGGTCTGAAGCAAACACCTCAGGGGTGCCTTCCGAGATTTTGAGGCCCTACCTGTACACCTCAAATGGACATGTGCCAAAGTCGGGCGGAGCTCGCATGTGTTACTTCGTGTTGGTTGGGGGTGGGCCTTGAGGCGTAGGTTGCGACTGTTGCGACTGTTTCTGTTCCATGCCTACTTGCCCATGGAAGCAGGGCACCGCGTGAAGATGCGGTAAGTCTCCGCTACAATGTTTCAACTGAGGTCCTAAGACTGCCAGACCCAAAGGTTGGCCAGTTAGAGAGAAGCGATGCCATTGGAACATCCTGGTTTCAACAGCTTTGGCCAATAGACCTGGGGAGAGAGCGGGGGCCAGCGCTTCAAGGCCTCGACCTGCCCAATGTGGACCATGTGCTGCTGCTTGAGATTCCCCAGGCCGAACCTTGGGGCGGGCGTCTTTTAACAAGTCCAGTGCCATTGGTGTTACTGATAGCGAAGGGCACTTGCCAGAGACCTCATGGCGATAGGGTCGGAAGAAACAGGCTGAAACTATTTCAAAGTGTTTATAGCAGCTCAAAACATCTCGAAGTGCCATGAGCCATGTGAGCCGTAGTCTTTGCGAAGGCCTCTGGGGAATACCTGCATCTGTCGGGCCGGACGGGGCGCATGGGCGCCAGAGGCACCACAATTACAATTTGCACAGCGCCTTGGGTTGCATTTTGGTTGGCAGTGCTGCAATGCGCAAGCGCAGGAGCCACAACACATGTAGATGCAAGGGATTGCGAGGGCATCAGTTCAGACAATGCCCTGTGTGGCTTGCCGAGGAAGTAGAGTACAGACACGTGCCTGGGCAGCAAGGGTCAGCAAGCACATGAACAACGATGTCCGCATGGCGCTTGTTTCCTGGCCGGTAGGGAGGCATGCTTGCCAAAGTCAACTGTGAGGCATCCCGAGGGCCCAGAGCTGTGAACAGCTTGCACGCAGGTGCTCGATGGGATTGAGTTACAACTTGGCATCAATTTCTCGCACTGGGATGTGGAGAGAGGCTGCTCCAAGGACCGCAGTGCAGTAAGAGAGTGAAGCTCCGTGGTCCGGTGCTGTTGGCTGCATTTGCTTGGTTCAGGACCCGATGCTGTCAGACCTGGATGCTGAGGATGACAAACATGATGTTAGTTACGACAAGGTAGATGTTGAGGAAGACATGAGCTGAGCCGAGTGTCTCCGGATTAAGTGAGTAGAAAGCGCGAGATTTCGTTCCAAAGTTGTTTCATGATAGTCGCAAAAGTGGCGAGATCCAAAATATGCTCATGACCCTGTGTGACTGCAGCCCAAGCAGATTCTTTTGGCATGCTGCTCCTCGACGCCAAGCATATGACAGCAGCTGACCATGCTCGCAAAGCTGGATCCAGGGAGCATGCTGCAAAACTATTTTTTTTGGTTTTGGTGTCCGTGCGTTGCCTTAGGTCGAGCTGAAGCGGGTGCTGCCCGGTGACTCAGGGCTCTGTGCGGCTGGGGCAAGGGGTCCTTCAATTTGCGGAGAAAACAAGATGTCCTTGGTCCGGTTATTTTCGCTTGGCTTGCTCCAACTTGAAGGTCAGTTTTAACCGTGCACAGTGCCAGTCTGTGCACGTGCGTGCGTGCGTGCGTGCGTGCGTGCGTGCGTGCGTGCGTGCGTGCGTGCGTGCGTGCGTGCGTGCGTGCGTGCGTGCGTGCGTGCGTGCGTGCGTGCGTGCGTGCGTGCGTGCGTGCGTGCGCGTGCGTGCGTGCGTGCGTGCGTGCGTGCGTGCGTGCGTGCGTGCGTGCGTGCGTGCGTGCGTGCGTGCGTGCGTGCGTGCGTGCGTGCGTGCGTGCGTGCGTGCGTGCGTGCGTGCGTGCGTGCGTGCGTGCGTGCGTGCGTGCGTGCGTGCGTGCGTGCGTGCGTGCGTGCGTGCGTGCGTGCGTGCGTGCGTGCGTGCGTGCGTGCGTGCGTGCGTGCGTGCGTGCGTGCGTGCGTGCGTGGGTGTGTGTGTGTGTGTGTGTGTGTGTGCTTGTTTGCTTGCTTGCTTGCTTGCTTGCTTGCTTGCTTGCTTGCTTGATTTTTTTGACGGGGGGCTGTATGTCCATGCTACCTCTGTTAAACCGCTTGCTGAGGACCAAGCGTGTTTTGACTGAACTGCGGGAGAAGCTGCTGCGTTGCCACGATCTGTGGGGAGGCCCAAGGCCTTAAGAAGGGTTCGCGCGCGCATGAAATATACTACCCTCCCTCCCACTAACATGGCAACTGACAGGGGCTCCCTTCAAAAGCTTTAAAAGGACATGAATCTTCCAGCTACCTCCCCACAGGTGCCATGTTAGTTGGAGGAAGGGTAATGATCCGGTTTTGTTTTGACCTGTATAGATGTAAGTAAACAAACCTACTGTTATACACTGGATGGATGTACTATGTGTGTATGACATTTGTTTCATTTATACTTGTTCACACTGTCATGTCTACACACGCCGGCAATGGACACAACATGTGCGGGCCACTTTTGCAAAAGCAGAGGTTGTTGACTGCAAGTTGGCATTCTGCTACTCGTTTAGCTGGATGTACCGTTGCAGCTTTGAGGCGGTCTGGCATCGCGGCGACCCACACGCCGAGGGACACCAGAGTTGTTGCCCACAGCCAGTGCAGGCATTTGTGAGCAGCTTTAGCCAATCTGGTTTGCAGCTGCAAGTCTTCAATACACGGCTTGCCAATTCGCCTGGGCAGAATATGATAATGTGGCTAGGATTCTTCATAGGCCTCAAAAGCGGTTGGGCATGAATCTCCCAAATGATGTCCACCAGGCCCCCAATTTAATTTGGATTCATGCTACGTGTTACCCGTCGCATTGAGAGCAATGACTGAAGACTGAAGATAGGTCTGATCCGTGCCACGCGAGGACCTGCTGAAGGTGACGGCCAGCTCGAGCCGCTTGGATTTGAGTTGGGGGGGGGGGCTGCGGGCTGGGACGACCCCACATGGCGCCGCTGGCGTCCCTTTGGTGAGGTGCACTTCTCTTTGGTTGTACGGTGGCAATGCGAATGTTTTCCCCAGGCGTAAAAGGTGCGATGCCAACCAGGGAGCAGCAGGCCAGGGAGAGGCGTTGCTCAGACAGTTTTCGATGCCCAATCTGGATGCCGCGGGCCAGGCAGTGAAGGACGCTTTGTCGGAGGCTTTTGCGAGGGGCTTGGCATGGATTGCCCGACTATGGCCCATGAATCATGGATTTGCTCGGTGACCGCGGAATCTGCATTCCAAGGATGCCGTTTGTGCTTACGCCGAGGGCTGCGGAGAAGGCTGAGCCTTGCAAGTGCATATGTCAATTCTGCCACCGGGCTCGCCAAGAACGAGGGGCCGCTCCCCTTTGGGGAGCTAAAAGGTCTTCATGGAACCCTCCAAGCTTCCCAACCTTAGAAGCATGTCACAGGCGCTTTGGGCCAGCATTTGTCCTGGCATCGGGGGGAGGGAGGTCCGGAGGTCGGTCTCGTGCTGGTGCGGTTTCGATCAGCCAGGCCTCTCAGCGGCCACTGAGAAGGTGAAGCACAAGCAGAGCCAGGCGCTCACGGAAAGGATCGGGCCGGCTCCCGCGAAAGGCGAGCGCGGGCGCTTGCCTTCTTGTTTTTCATTCCCAGCCTGCCCTGTCTCTTCGGCCAGGAATTCGCTGTTAACTTTTCACCTCTATTTACGATGCATTTCGGGCCTGAGCATTGAAACGCAACAAGGCCCGGCAGAGTTTCGCTCGTTGAAGTTGCCAAAGTGCGTGGGAACTTAGGCTGGCAACCATGCTGATAACTCTCCCTTGCGACTCTGTGAAAACAACCCCTGGCTTTTCTTCAGCTTCGCCTCCTTGCAGGCTTCGAAACGCTGTACACCTACCATACTTCATACCCTCCCAAAAGTCAACGTGGAACCTGAAAGGCACTGGTTTTCCCCGTTCAACCCCCAAAAAACACGGTTAGGTGCCATATTTGTTCTTGAAGGGCACCTCAAGGGTCAGTTTTCGTGAGTTGGAGGCTTTTGGAATCACCAGCTCACCTCCCGATTGCCTGCCTCGGACGCGCGATCAATCCATTCGTCCCCCAAAAGCTGGCCTCTTCTTTCGCGGCTTTGAGGTTTGTAGCTGGGGTGGGTGGGGAGTGGGTGCATTTCGCGCCATTTTGGGGCGCGCCAGGGGGTTCTATCCCCGCCCTGCCACTACACATTGCCTGGCTGCATGCTTTGCCGTTTGTTTAGACTTGTTGCGGCGTTCCTGGCTTGGGCTGGACTGGCTTCCCCCACCGAAATTGGGCCATTTCCACGCGCCTAGTTCACAGCATTCGGGGGGATACCTACGAAGAGGACTTATCTAGAGGAGGTTGGTAAAAGGGCTGGCACTTCTGAAGGAATGGTGCCAGCCTTCGGTCCTCCCTTGCGCGTGCTTGGGATTGAGGTTCGTCTTTGCTGTCTGCGACCTCAACGGCTAGCCCAGAGGAGAGGAGAAAGGCGCATGTTCGGGGGGGGCCGCAATGACCAAGAGAGAACAGTTGAAACAGATGTGCTAGCCAAAGAGTCAAGTTCAAAGGTACACAGTTGAAAGCAAACATTCTCGACAAACCGCGACGGCGGCTTCGATGTGTTTTTGTCAGGCCTTTGAGCAGTCTGTGGCCAAGGCGGGCTCTTTCCGGGCATATGTTTCTACAGGAGGACCCTAGGCCCTTGACGGGGACCCTTGCTTGTCCCCAAACGGGTCAGAAGGCCAGTGTGGGATGTGTCCCCTTCAAGCATCGGAGGAAGATCCGGCCCGAAGCAGTGTGTGAGATGTGCATTTGTGATATGTTCCAGGCCGTGGCCAGCCTGGAAGAAGCAACGAAGAATGCAGGCCGGAGAGTAGCGGGAAGAAGCTCTTTCTACAAGCTAAAAGCAGTGAAATGGTTGGTGCTGGTCCCAGCTAGCGGGCTCGCCTTCAGGTCAAGCTTCGTAATTGGGGCTGATTAGCAGAGAGAGTACAACCGGAAACTGGTTCTTTCGGCAGGCCTGTGGGAATCCTTGAGCACAGGCGCGTGTCTTGGGGCTGTGGCGTTGGCGTTGTGGCGGCAGCATGTACACTGCAAGTGGAAGCACTCTATTGCAACATGCTCCGAGCAGGGATCATTTCTGGTCTGGCCTGGATTGACCGAACCCTGATCCTTGCCCCCAAATGGACAACACGAGCACGCAGCCATTCCGAGAGCTGCATGAGGGCAAGAGAGTAAGCAATAGTTTTTAGGAGTGCTTGTGACGTTTGTGCTCAGATGGAATTCTTCCTTCAGGTTTCTGAGTTTGTTTGCTCCAAAAAGGGCAAGGATCACACATCATTCGGCCGGCGTGTATCAGGCGAGGCCCCGCATGATGCTGAGCCCCGCAGCCAACCGCCGGGCGCAGAGCGGGGTGTGGGCGGGGTCGACCCAAACGGTTTGGATTGCTGTCTGGGCAAACGTCAAAGACTGGAAGCCGAGGCCGCCCGTCACTAGTACCGCTCATGTACGTGCTCAATTTCTCCAGGCACGAAACTAGTTGTGATTCTAGTCTGCTTGCCTTCAATGCATTTTTTCCAGATTGGCTTTTGCATATGGCCTTGATTGGATGCGGTAATCCGACTTGGGCTCCCTGTGGCTTCTATGGCTCCAGCCCTAAGTGTGGCATACGGCCAACGATCCGGACTGCACATCGTGCTGGCACCTCAGCATGCTCGTTCATTGGCGGTTGTCCGTATGCTCGCAAGGGAGGCAAAACACGGATGGAGAGTTGGAAGGCACCATGCACTTTCATCTGTTTCGTTGAGTCTAGCTTTCTGAATCCAACAGAGTTGGTTGATCTGCGCCCTGACATTCATGTCGCCTGCAAACCTAGGCTGAGAAGAGTTTGACGCCATGGGTGACGGTACTCCTGCGATGGGCCAGGGCCTTGGGCAGTTGTTGCGGTGCAGGAGGTGCACTGGTGACGAGTGATTTGCGAGGCAAGCGTCACAAGAAGACGCACAGCCTGCCGCTGGGCTGTGAGCTGCATGCCGTTTGGGGCTGTTAGCAAAGTGAACCGCAGTGCCCCCTTTATAGGAGGGGGGGCCTAGCAAGTAACAAAAGCAGCTTTCCTTTCGGATCCTTTGCTTGTTTGTTTGTTTGTTTGTTTGTTTGTTTGCTTGCCACAAACTCAACGTGGCGCAGTGGTGATGTTTCAATGACTGAAAGCAGTATCTTGTAGTCCTACGGGTTTCCTTCTACCGCGCCCGAGGGTCTGATGTTGACTCGCCAAGCACCTCCTTTGGGGCGGCAAAGTTTCGTGGGAGTTCCCCCCCCTCAGCCCCCATTGAGGTGCCCGCGCTGCGGCAAGCGCCTGGAGCCTTAGACTTTGGGTCACGCAAGCATCGGCAACTTGGTAGGGTCACTAGTGAACCAGCCCTGCTTCAGAAACTGAGTTCCAGAATGTTCCAGATAGTATCCAAAAAATAAACTCAGAAGCTGCCCCTGAAACAGAAGCTATCCCGGCATCAGACATTTCATTGGCAAACCTTTGAAGAAGTTTCTTGTCAGAAGCTCCACCACCCAGCTCCACCAAATAGAACACCCACCACCAACATGTTCTCAAAGCAAGTGCACTTTCCGAAACGTAGTCTCCGAAACATGACTCCGCCACCCCTGGTGCTTGTCCCAAAAGAAGAGCCCAACATGGGATGCGCGTAAGCCAAGCTTTGTGCATGGGCAACTCGGAAATTCCTTGCCCCTTTTTGGTCGTATTCGGGCATTCAAAGACCCTTGCTGCATTGCCTTAGTCACAGGCTCCTACCACCAGCAGAACAAGAAGTGCGCCGCCTGCGGCTACCCAGCGGCCAAGACCCGCTCCTACGAGTGGTCCAAGAAGGCCCCGCCCAAAAAGCGGCGCACGCTGCTTGGAATTTCTGTAGCGCCTGTGTCAAACAGCTGCGTCAAGTCTCAATTGATATTTGCGCCAGCCTGATTTGAGACTCATTTGGGCAGCCAATCAGTTTTTCCTTTTGAAAGCTAGTGGATTCATTGAAGACAAGCACCCCTTTCAAGAAAGCCACTGCTCTCGTGAGCTTTGTGCACCCTCCCGGCCGACAGTCCAAGCGCCGCCGAGCTCCTGGCACTGGCCGCATGAAGTACGCCGCTTTGGCCGAAGAGGGGTACTTTTCTGGTTGAAGATTGCGCGTATCTTTGCCATGGTCCCGACTTGGGGAGCGGCCGTATGGCTAGTGGCTTTGGGGAGTTGAGAGTTGTTTGAGGCGCGGGGGCTCGACTCCCCTGTCCCGACCGGACGATGTTCCCCACGTGCCGTTACATTGCCCGGGCGCATGAATTGTCGCTTTAGACTTGGGTTTCTTCGGGCTGACCGGTTGCCCTGACGGACCTGACGGATGATTTTTTTCTCATTTGGTGATGCCTTTTAGACGCTTGCTGATTCACAAGCGTGGCGGGAGGATGCCAGGCTGGTGAAAAGGCAGCGTTGGTACTTCTGGCATACGGTGCCACCTTTCGGTCCGTCCTCTTTCAAGTTTGGGTGCAGAGAAGGTTGGATGTGGATGTTGTGTTCCATGAAGATTTGCAGGTCACGACTTGCCTTGACTGATCTTTTCTTGGACCTGTTGCCTAGCCGAAGCAATGGTGATGGTACGTGGCATTGAAGCAACGTCATTGGATGTGATTGGGCCATTTGGGCATTTGAAGAGGATCGAAGGAAGCTCACGACTCCAGCGTTTTGCATAATTGGATGGGTAGCATTCCATGCAAACCTTGCAAACCTTCACGAAGGAAAGGGGACCCGTGTCGTTTGGGCCGCCGTTTTAGTGTTTGAGGGGCAGAGTCGTGACAAGCTGTGACAAGTTAGGGGCTCTGAACAGGGGTGGGGGGGGGGGAAGTTTATTGATGGGCGGTTGCACTTCCGCTTCTTGCGAGGTCAAGCACATCGCCCGCCGTTTCAAGAACGGCTTCCGCGAGGGTACCACTGCGCCAGCCCGCAAGAAGCAGCCGGCGCAGAAATAAGGCCGGCGGCTGAAAGGAAGAACCCCGTGCATCTGTCAACGTCGAGGTTTGCATGGAATGCTCCCGGCATTG